ATATATATATATATATATATATATATATATATATATATATAATGTATTTAGGCAGCAATTTTCCATTGATGCATATTTCATTAAATAATATAGACAAATTTTCTCTATTTATTTTAAGTAAGTTCCTTTCATATTGTCTGATAAGCTAAATAACATTATCATTGAAAGACGAAAGGAAATCACCATATTGATACATGTTTTAATCCTATCTAAACTTTCGAACACATAAGCCATTATCAAAAGATGACAATTACATTTCAATATATCAAACAATACACGGACAAAACAATAATGATAGTCTGGTTTTGTTGCATGAAAAATTTCAAAGCAACGTCAAACTTGTGTATACGAGACGCGGAAGCGAAAATCGCATCGCAGCTCATGATGTCACACAAGACCACGCGAGAGTGAACACGAGAAGTATTAAGTATGGGAAATCGTTGGTATAAACCAATGGCTTCTGTTATCAATAATGGGCATTTAAGAATATTTGTGGAGATTTCATCGTTTATTTTGTTCAGATTAGGTTTCAACTGTTTTATGTATATAGCTTCAAGAATTTTTAGTTTTTGTTTATTGTTTTATGTATAGTTGTGTTTTCAACGAGGATTTTCCGAATTGTGTACATGGCCAGGCATGTTTTTTAAATGCCTAAAATGTTGAATTATCATTCAAATGTAGAGTCAAGCCTAGTTTGTGGTATATATATATATATATATATATATATATATATATATATATATATATATATATATATATTATAACGATATATAATTTTGTATAATTTTATATATCAACAAACAGGATTTAGAAAATATGACAAACTAGAAAGTTTTTTTTTGTAACGCTTTTCATCCGTTACGATTTTCATATATATCAGAGTAATAGTGATTAAATAATGTGAAAATGTTTCGTCTTTCAAAAGGCCTTCTTCAGATTAAATAATGTTTTTTATCGATGGAATCATATATACATCGTCATGGGAATAAAACATATCAAACATCGGTTACAATTCTACATCGATAAAACGCTGAAGTTTTAATTAAAAAGAGAAAGAATTTATTCAGTTGAAAATGCATTGAAAGTGCACTACTTTCTGAGTCTTTCCCTGTACATGTGCGTCACGAATCATCCACCATATATAGACTTTCCAAACAAAACTCTTGCCATTACTATGTGTCACATGAGAAAACAATAGAGCGATAAATCTAAAACAGAAGCGGTAGGAAGTTATGTGACCTTGGCTCGGTTGTACATCTGAACACATCGGAGACCAGAAATTGAAAAATGCATTTTTAAAGCCAAACCTTCCGGTACCTTTAGCGTTTTCTCGATATAGAATTATAACCAATATTTGTTGTAGTTTGTTCCCCCCCATATATATATATATATATATATATATATATATATATATATATATATATATATATATATATATATTACAATTTTGTTGGTCTCTCGCTCAACTGCGTCTCACACAATAATCAAAGGGGTTCCAGTCTGGGGAGTTAGATGGCCATCAGGCTGATGTGCTTACAGAAATTGTCTGACAGTCTGGTTTTTCATGCTTGTGTGGCATGGTGCAGAGTCCCGTTTCCAGTCATAGGATCATCCAGCAGCCACTTTCTTGACCCAGAGCAGTAGTACCTCCTCGACGCACTTGATGTAAGCCTCCGTGTTGAGTCTGATACTCTGTGGAAAGATGAATGGAGGCGTAACGTCGATATCACTAGTGGTCTCTCCACACACCATCGTAATCACCATTAGACTCATCCATCTCTTTACGCATCCTCTTCAATATCTTCAAATTGACACATTAACATTCTGAAATGTTCGTGTTGGAGCTTTTTGGCGCGAATACCAAGTAGTACAACTGTTTCTAAATTTCTGGTGGAATGAATCGCGTCATGGTGATCCTTTTCTTTATAGCCTGTGCCCAACTGACTCTACTATATTGTGCAATCGGCAAAATCAAAACAAACAACGCGCATGCGCGAAATTAAACATATTTGCCTTGTACATATACATATAATTCTGTGGATAAAAAGCATTATTTTCTCTGAAGAAATCTTTTCGAGTGACGAAACGGGTAACAAAATTTTCTCATTTAATAATCTCTTACATACATTTTTTTAAAAATCGGTATCACCCCATGCAAGGCAGTAAAGCCACTGCGACACAAAGCATTACAGGGTGGTGAAGAATTATAAACAGAAACATTAATTATGAACGGGAAGAGGAAAGAGTAATCAGGAGGAAAGCAGATAGCGATTGACATTGTATTTCCGCCGGAAGGGAGTTCCACAATCTAGAAGTACGAGGAAAGAAGCATAGAATTTACGGTAATTCAGTTGGTGGGAGCTCGTCGTCAGTCTAGTACTGCGCTTAAATTAAAAACTCTAGGTACCATAGCGATGAAAAATTACCATGAAAGTATTTATAGAAAAGACACAGAGAGGCAACCTTACGGCGGAGTGAAAGTGACTGAAGCCGAGCCCCCACATCAGGACCAATAATATTGCTGATTCTTCTTTAGATTTTATCAAGGAGCTCAAGGTAAACATCAAGGGCACCAGAACATATGTGGCAGCAATATTCTAAGCATGGACGAATGACAAACTTAGAGACATAGATGTGGGGGATTTTCTAATTTTTATCGATACACTTTTTGAGTATTGTACATTGTGTAGTTTTTACTTTGAAGAGGATAGGGAAAACTATGTGTTCATTTTCCCACGATTTTAGTATTGTATCTTGTAAATGTAACTGTAGCCAAGATAACTGCATATTCCAAGGGGTAATCAGCGTTGGTGTTGCTAATTATTATTAATTTCTATTTCATTTCTATTGGTTTACACATTATCTAATAATTAATAATCTTTGGTTCTGTTGGTAGCGTAACGGTTATTGGTGCAGAAACCGGAATCAGAGAACCGAGTTCAAATCCAACCTAGTTTGTTGTTTTTCTCTTTAGCCTTGTGTGGCAGCTCGTCTAGGAGAAGAACTGCCCTGAAGCAGTCATACCAATTTACTGATAATAAAGAAACTGAATCCGTGGAGAGCTGTTATCGCTAACGTCCTACAATGACATGGCAAAATAAAAGTAATGTTCTTAAAATGGCGTTTCTCCTATAATTATTTTTGTTTAAGAATTAATAAATAAAAATGCTTCGGCTAAGAAATTCATATAATATTTAAAATGTGATGCCAAGATGAAGGATGGTAGCTTATGTGGCGTTCACAGGAACATGTGATATAAAGGGTATATGGCAATATATGAAGAACTATGATTGATTGGCATTTTGGGATAGCATGTGCCCCGAAAAAACCAATCTCCATAGAAATAGGAATTAGCATTTGAGTCTCTCTCTTGATGCTTGTTTTCGATCTATACTATTTACTAACGATCGCAGAGAGACGATCTGGGAGTTCCGATAAAGAGCATACGAAATTTTTAAGAAAGTTGCTTCAGTGTCGAGCTAGACAATTTTTCTCGCCAGAATCTATCTTAAATATTTATAAGTCTACCATTCGTCTTGCTGTGAATATTGCTGCAACATATGGTCTGCTGCTCCCGCTATGTATTTTGAAATTTTTGATTAAATCCTAAAATATTTTGAGATTTTTGATAAAATCCAAAAAAGAATGTTATTGGTCCTGATCTGGCATCACGGCTTCAGTTATTTTCACACTACGCGACGTACCTTTTCTAATCTTTCAGGGCAAATTTTATGATGAATATTCTTCTATGGTACCTCGACTTTATGAATTTAAGTGCAGTTCGAGATTGGCACTTAGGTATCACCATGTTACAGTTGAAATGGCTAGATGCAACCGGAATTTCTATGCTAACAGTTTCTTCGATCGCACTTCTCGCTTGTGGAATTCTCTCCCAGTTTTTTGCTTCTATGATCTTCAAAAATTTGAAAGCAATGTCAATATTTATCTTCTCTTTTCTTAATTCTTTCCCTTTTGTTGTCTTAGTATATTTTTCTCATATTCTTTAACACTCAGTAACCATTTACGTCCGAGAGGCTTTATTGCCTTGAGGTGAAAGGATTAAAATCTAGCGAAAAATTAATAATGATTTGAAACGTTGAGTGTATCAGCAAAATATGTTAGTTAATGTTTTCGCTCCTCACCCCCAGTCAAATTATACGATGTCCGGCATTATTTGAGATTGCCAATAAACTTTCTATTTATGTATCCTCATACACAGAGACATGCACGTGCAAATTTATAAAGCAATATCCGCATATCATAATACAATTATATGGACATAATCAGAATATATATATATATATATATATATATATATATATATATATATATATATATATATATATATATATATACACACACATATATATATATATATAATGTTACAGGTTATTGGTAGCCTCATGTGTAATACAAACGGAAATATGATTTTCGACTTTATTGCACATTAATTTATTCATTAAGACTTCTATACGACAATACCTCTTATACATTAGACAGACAAACGCGCGAACAATCAGAAACAGTATTTCGAATCAAATGACGCATACTCACTAGCAAACATTGATGACACATGCAACATTTATACAAAAACTGTCAACGTCATTGTTCAACTAACACATCTACACAGCCTAACACTTTCAACGCACAAAGTAATATACTTGGATAATTATAAACAGAGAAAACACACCCGTACATACACACACACACACAAAATCCAGGAGACAGGCACAAACATCCACACAAGCAACCCGCTCCAGTCTCGCTATCCGCACACCCGTCTATTCGCCACAACTAACTGGTCCATATTCATTTAGCATGATCAGCTTTTCGCGGGTTCCTGCATCATTTTTCTATACTGATTCGATTAGCCGCTTCACGCCGTGAAACGCAAATCTTTTAAATGTTTTCCACATGTTGAACCCGTGTAGTTAATGTGCATTTATGCACCGCACATGTGTTAGGAAATATTGTTTGCTCTCCCCAGGCCATCGTGTTCCATGGCTGCACCCGCCCAACCGCCAGCAGCCTCTAGTTCAACCCGGCTCTTTATTTCCCAGTTCCGCTATTTGCTGCCTATCCCTTCCGTTTCAAACCCCCCACAAGTAATACAGTACCCCCCATCCATCGTACGTTTTCTACTGCCATATTCACAAGGTTTTGAAAATTGTAACTGCCACAAAACTCTTCATTTTTGGCCCTTCCCTGTCTACTAAGTTTTATCATTCCTTTTTTTATTTCCTTCTTTTGAAAATTTTCGAATTTCCTCTTTTTATTTTTTCTGTTTTTCTCTATTTTCATTCTTCAAAATCCTTCTTTCTCTCATTTATTCCATCACATTAAGTTTTCTCCCATTCACTTTTTCTAAACTCTCTTCATTGAATCGTAATATTTCCATCTTTTTTTCTTTCTCTCTAAACTTGTTGTTGTTGTTGGTGGTGGTGGTGGTGGTGGTCGTCGTCGTCGTCGTCGTGGTGTTCTTCTTCTTCTTCTTCTTCTTCTTCTTCTTCTTCTTCTTCCATCATTTAAATCTTACACTATCTTTATTCCTTTCTTTCTTTCTTTCTTTCTTTCTTTCTTACTTTTTTATCCTTCTGTCATTTACATGCTAGGATTTCTTTCTTTCTTTCTTTCTTTCTTTTTCAACTCCATTTCCTTCTTCTAACTTTCAAACCTTACGATTTGTTTGTTTGTTTGTTTCTTTCTTTCTTTCTTTCTTTCTTTCTTTCTTTCTTTTCCCACCCTGTCGATAAAAACTAATTCTGCCATATTCGTTCGACTCCCGACTTACTGTTCGTCTTGTGCCAATATTTTTCACTTTCGATCTCATAAATGCGCACAGTTCATTGATTTTGGACCGAGACATTTGTACGTTCCAACTCGACTGAACACCTCCCCCCCACCCCCGAACGCGCAACTCCAATCTCCCTCACACGATCTCTTTCTACCACACCGTCTCCTCCATTTAAATTCATTCTATTCCAGTTCACGTCATACACATTCACTAATCTGACTGAAGGGAACAATGTAAACACACAAAAACATACACACTCGTAGAAAAAGAAGCGCCTGCTTTAGAGCGATGTTTAGATTCACAAGCTATTGGTAGTGAGTTCTTTTAATGAATGATTGGATCCTGTCAGGTTTAACTCTCGGGGAAAGTTATTCACCACTTTTATTTAGCCAGGGAGAATAGCTGTTCAAGCCTACTAATCCAGTTTCAGCAGTAATAATCATCATTATCATCACCAATCCCATGATGAATACCTCTTAGGCTGGTCAGCCTAAGAGGTATTCATTCATGCGTAGTGTGTCATAGATAAGTAAACATTGCACAGTTATTCTCTTTCCAGGACAAACAACAGCTGATGTCCTCCAACTTGATGACTCGTTATTGCTGTTGATTCATCTGGGGAACACTCCTCCCTAGCCGCTGAATTTAGTCTAGGGAGAACTCTACCTAGCAATACCGTTATCACTGCACTGTCTACATCCATAGCTATCGAACCCATTCTGCTAGATGGTCGTGAACCCTACAGGAAAGTTAATTCGCTATTTTGTGTCTTTTTTTTTTTTTATTATACTGTGTGTCGAAATACTCACTCCCCAGAAAAGTTTACCTGTACTTGGTTACATGGTGCCAGTAGCACCTGTAGATTAACGATAAATCAAGTTATATAACAACAGTAAAAAACATAAGGAAGAACTGATTCATGCCTTCCGAGTGAAATTTTAATGTAGTGATCTGAAAAGTATTCATTCTGATATAGATACACGACACAACTGCAGGAAGATGTTCAAAGATTTGTCACGTCGGCTGTTATGTGCATGAAATCTTACGAGTCATTTGAACTGCCAGGGGAAGCATATTTTTTCGAATTCAAATCCAAATCAAAGGTCTTCTTACTCTCGTTGATCTCCACCAATTCTTATCATTGGCTATACTGGGCCATGTGGAGGCGAAATATCAGGTGAGATTGTTGCGCCGTCTTGCATTTGCACGCCTTCGAGGTCTTTTCCACTGCCTTGGTGTCTACACTGTCGCTCTAATAGACCACATGTTTTCTCTGAGACAAGAGACGTGGCCAGCCCATCCATGTTTACTCTACTTGGGGTTCTGCTGTCGAATCCAGATGTTGCTCTTCCTGTCACGAATGGTGATGAGTTCTTCCATTTTACGTTGGGATACTGCAAGTGTCTCTGAAATGGTGATGGTGTTGAGAACCCATACCATAATTCAACACCGGTAGAACATATTAATTAAACAAATTTCTCTTTGTTTTGATTGTTGACTTCTCATGATGCTATAAATTTTTCTAAAAGCCGCCCAACCAATCACAATCCTTCTTTTGGTCACCGGAAGTAGGGCACCATCGCTGATCTGTATAGGAAGTGATATTAGAATAATCCGATACACTTAATGTGAACAAAGCGTCTGTGTGCGGATAGAAAAAAAAACTAGTTGAACAAGAGCACAAAGATAGAAATCTTTGAGCTCTGGTTCAACTAGAAAAAAAGGTGTAAATACCGCGAAACGATCCCAAGATAATTAGATGTCCTAGCAGGATTTATTACTAGTAGGTATGATTTTAGTAGTCTCATATATGCAGAAAACACAGCGGTCTTAGAAGGAATGCTGAAAAGCTCCGAGGCAATATCGTCAAGGAAAGCGAGATGAAAGGACCAATAACATCAAGAAGTCACCATCCTGAGTTTTGAACACCAGTCTCAGGGTTAATGGTTTTTTTCTTTCTTTTTTTCTTTTTAGCGGCATATCAACCTCTATAGGTTATTAATGCCGAAATCTAAATAATTTGTTCGCAATTTTTTTTTTTTGTAAGGGAAGACAATAATGGTTTATTAGTTCTATTAATTAACACGTAGCATGATTTATAACCACTAAGCATAATCTTAGCAGTCTCATATACGCAGAGATCAGGACAGGCTAAGAAGGAATACTACAAAGCTCCCTGAGACAATGTAGTCAAGGAAAGCGAGAAGAAAGGATTAACCATTAATTATCATAAGATAAAGTGTATGATCTTTAGAAACAGAGGAAGTAAGAGGTGTAAGGACTGAATCAGAACACTGGAATTTAAATATTTTGCTAATATAGTAACAGAGTGCATATATCACGTACATAAAGCGTTAAAAATTCCTTTTAACCGTAGCGTGCGCTGATAGCGTAGGGGTAAGGGTCAGAGTTTCTATCCTGGCTTAAAGCAAGCGCGTGTCTAGCCACACCTGTGATACAGCGAAACTGCCTTTCTGTGGATGACACTATATATATATATATATATATATATATATATATATATATATACTATATATTTATATTGTTTAGACTTCGCCCCAAAGTCTATAAATATATTTTGTTGCACCCTATCACCCTATATATATATATAAACTGTTACATTGGAACATGCAAGTTGCCGCGACAAAAAATGCATATTTGTTTCGACCACGTCTCGTCAGGTGGTTAACGTCGAAACAAATGCATATATATATATATATATATATATATATATATATAACGATGCTTCGTCTTCTGATGGACTTTATCAAAATGCAAGTGTTTTATTTTCCAACATGCACTTATTTACGGATGTAAAAATATATGTATGTTTTAAATTTTTCTACATTTAATGAACGCTCAAAAATATTCTTACGTTTGTGTCAAGGTAAGCTATGGAGGATACTAAAGGATGTAATTTCATGCCTAATAACGGAAACTGATTAACTCTTGTTCTTGAATTTTTTCCTATTTGCTTTTATATATTTTATTTTTTTTATTAATGTAATTATTATTTACTATTTGATTTTAATTTGATTAATTATTTATGTACTATCTACTTTGAATAATGGAAGGTTTTTTCTATATTTTTATGTTCATTAGGTTAGTTTTGGAAAGGAGAATTACTTGTTTTCTATATCCATATTGTCTTTATATATATATATATATATATATATATGCATGCTTACATGCATATATATATATATATATATATATATATATGTAACTTTTACATATATATGTGTGAGTAATTATGTATATTGTGTGTATACATACTTATATATCTTTTTCAAATTAGTTATATTTATTGGGGATTTCAATAACAGAGTAAGCGTGGAAATAGGAAGCGACAATGCATGGTGACTGACTGTTTCGCACCTCAGTAGGTCCTTCAAACTAGGAAGAATGATTTCTAGACCGAGCGCAAAGGAAAACTAAAATAGGTACGATGTAATTCAAAACAAAACTAGAAATATATTCCACAAATTCCCCCAAAAGAAAAAAAAATAACGGCATGGCAAGACGACAACACGAACCGTCACTGGAAGACTCGACACTTTAAAATAGTCACATGATATGATATTTAAACCAACGATGAAAAGTAAGAGTTTCGCTCGAAATATGGAAACCATAAAAGAAAATTCCTGAAATGTCATGGCTTTTTAACCAAGCTTGTATAATTAAAAATTTTGCACAATTCAAACTCTCTCTCCCTCCTCTATATATATATATATATATATATATATATATATATATATATATATATATATATATATATATATATATTCTCTAGTTTACTGCTACCAGCAAGCAGAAATATTTCTCCTCCCGATGATGGCCATTTTGGTCGAAACTAGTCGAGGAATCTAAATGAAATAATAAAAAAAAACGAAAGAATATTAATCTACAACCCAGTGTGTCTAAAAGATTTTAATTTTTAATATTTTTTTATTGTTCAATATATATATATATATATATATATATATATATATATATATATATATATATATATATATATGTGTGTGTGTGTGTGTGCCAGCGTGCGGATCTTCGTCTGTATGTATGTTTATTAGAAAATGTGTTATCATAAATATTTACATTCATCTCTACTGCAATTTACAATGTATCACCACGAAATACTGAAATCGAAATGTAAATCGGTTATTGTTGAAAGCAAAAACTTGGAATATTTCAATCTGCAGTCGCAAAGAATTCCGACTATCTCTTTGCTTTTCATATTTCTTTTTTTTCTCTCTCTCTCTCTCTCTCTCTCTCTCTCTCTCTCTCTTTTTGATCTAACTGTTCTCTCAATCAAGGACCAGCTGACAAACCTTTCCAAAGCCGATGGATAAACGTAATAATATTCAATCAATTTTCTACTTTCGACATTCATTATAATTCCAATTTGGAAACCAGAGAGCGTTGTATGGTGGTAATTGATAAGTTTATGGTTGCTTCTATGTTTCTTCTACATATGCCTCTGTGTACATGTCAGTATTTATATTTTACATCAACTAGAATCATAGGAAGTGCATATGATTCATTCAAATTAGTGTTCGAATCAAGTTTATGAAAGTTTATGGAAACATATTTCTAAAGCAACTTAAATTATTCAATATTTGATTTGCATAAATATAAATAGTATATAATAATAATAATAATAATAATAATAATAATAATAATAATAGCTACTCGTTTCTGAGCATATGCTTCTGTCCGTACGTCTAGTTAATCTACATTGCAAACGCGTGCTCAGGTACATTTGTGTTTGTTCAACACCCACAGAGCCCATTATGTTAGATAGGATACGTCTTTCCGCCGGAAGAGATGCTACTGTTCCGTGCCGGTGTCTGTCCTCTCCTCCGTTGCCTGGATAGAATCTTCGGACTTGTTCCGTAACATCTGTTCCTTAGTTGTGGTACGACTAACTTAGACAAGCTATTCAAGCTAAGACCAGCATACACCAGTGGCCTGAGTGGAGACACTCGGGTCCCCAAAACAAACCTACATTGTGCCACAAACTTAAATATCCAGAACCCACTATGATAAGCAGACCTTAGCTACAATTTCTGTGAAAAGGGCATAATTTGGTGTGCACTCAAAACATCGGTCACGATGTTTCTGATTTCCAGCTTCGAACAGTTACGTCTATCCGACGAGTTTCGAACAGTTACGTCTATCCGATTTTACTCACAAGGCGTATGGTTTTCAGACACTTCCCAAGGGTATCAAACGCTAGGATCGCCTCTCCATGCCAACAGCATCAAGAAGTTATCTTTCTGATTTTTGAGCACCAATCTCATGGTTAATGGTTGCTTGGTTTTGTTTAGCGGGATATTAACCCCTACGGGTTATTTAACGTCGAAATCTAAATAATTTGTACGTATTTTTTTTTGGGGGGGGACAATAATATTTTATTAGTTCTATTAATTAACCCGAGAGAAGGAAGAGAAGGGGGGGGACCCATGCTTTTACCAAGGATATTTTCAGCACCTGGTATTTCCAAGCGGTAAACCTGTTACAGTTTTTTGTGTATGTGTGTAACTATGACTTATTTCCCTTTATAGTCTACCAATAGAAGATTAACCAATCAGGAGCCGCTGAAGATCGTATCCGCCGTGTATAAAGGCCATCTTGTTTTTCCCTCCCGGCACACGACAGAAGGAAGAACTACACTCTGCTGTGATATCCACTTCGAACCTAAAGTACGCTTTCCTACTGTCTCCGAAATATTCACTGCCAACCTCTGGATTCTATACTCGAGGACGACCGTCATGAAAATGTCTAACATTGGCACTGGCCAGGGTCAACTTCGGTGTTCGTTTGGCAACAGGTGTTTCAATTCAACGTGATGTGACCGTAAGTCAGTCTCATGGTCAGAAACTGAATGTTCTGACCACTTTGCCACGTGTTTATAGGCACATGTGACACAACCGAAACGCAAGCCACTAATCTGCAACTGGGTGGCATGCCACTAGCGTTTACCGCTTGTGGTCCGCTGTCGGAAATTATATACACATATAGTTGTATATAAGCTAAATTCTACCGCAAAAGATCAAACAAGCCAACGCCGCTTTATTGATATCCGGACATATAAGCGCGGGTTCCGTCAGTAAGCGCCTAGGCTTTGCTCCACACTTTTGCCCATCGCGGGTTGCAAAGAAATCGTTGGTATAAATGTTTGGAATAACAGCCTTTATGTATTTTGTCCCCATATTTCCTCCGATTTTTTTTTCTAGATCTAGGAGGTCTAGTAATCGAGTTTTTTTTTTTAGCTGAAATACTGTATTTCCGATATTTCCTCGTTGCCATACAATAATTTGACCAAGACGGACTTTTACAAAATTATCACTAAATACAGAACATAGATCTGCGTGATATAGTATGAAAATTTTTAAGAAGTCTTTCAGGATTTTTGACGAACTTCTTTGCAGTTCAATGTTTTCTGACAATCATTTTTTTCAGTTTCCAGCGTTTTTTTTTTTTTTTTTTTTTGGCAGCCCCCGAGGGCTTTAAACATTTATCCTTCAAGTCTGCATTAAGAAATTTTTAAAGGCGGAACGATTTAAACTCGGAACGTGCTTGTTAATTTAAAACTTCGAAATGCAGGATATTTTATAGAAATGTCGGCCATTTTTTTTACATCAGCGCAGAACGAATCGGCTTTTTATTCAAACTGCGCAGATAAATGTTACCATCATTCAGCAAATAAACCATTACATTCCAATAAGTATTTATTTTATATATCAATAAAAAAAAAGAAGTAGCTAATGCGAGAAGCAGTGTCGTCGACATTTTTATTAAAAACAACTGTAAATCAAAAATATATAACCTTAATTTATCCTAATAAACAAAAGTTATTTTTTAGCTATTTTTGTCTCACAACTCGTTGGGATATGCAAGCTGCAAACAGACAGCCGATATTACACGCGTATACAGCCACACATATAATCTCAAGCATATCATTACACAGGCACTCTTGTACATATATCTGTTTAGTCGTTGCCCGAAACGCTCTTATATGTCGATGAGTCAGCCATTGAGTTCCTTGTAAATCTAATGGTGCTAATAAAAATAAATGTCTCTCATCTGACGCTATTTAAAAGCCATAGAAAAAGAAGCGAACAATGAAAAAAAAAAGGTTGTAATTAAATTTTACCTTTTATCTTTACCGCCATCTCTTTGGGTAATTTAGATCGCATCGGTTCGGTACATACTTTTTATTAGACCTTATTCAGCATGTATTTATACAACCATCATCCTCATGATGATGATCATCATCATCATCACCACCACCACCACCACTACCACTATATATATATATGTGTGTGTGTGTGTGTGTAAACAATGTTATTATTATCATATCGTAATTGTTAATTCATCAGATTGTTAGGCAAAAGAAAAGTTCATTGATGTTATTTCTGTTTCATCATTTTTTTATTATGAAGTTTATATTTATTTACAATGGATACTCTTGAATTCGCCAAAACAAAAAGAAAACACTCTTTCTTATTTTAATAATGAATACCGCTCATTAATAACAGTCCTTCTGTTTTTATTGGTTAGTTTGCAAATCTTCCGAGTCGGGACCCAACAATGGCAGTTCATAGTAATGGCGGAGACCCATCGACATCACATCCGAGTAATGGCAGGGACCCACCGATATCATTCCCGAATAATAGCCGGAACATAGCGACATCACATACAAGAAATGGCCGGGCCGCAATGACGTACACTTCCAAGTATATGGTCGGGACCCACCAATGTCAATTGATAGTAATGGCCGAGACACGTCAACATACCAACCGAGTAATGGTTGGACCCACCGACATCATTTCCGAGTAATGACCAGAAACCACCGAAATCACTTACTACTAATGGCCGGGAACCACAGACGTCACTTCGTAGCATATGGTCAGGATTCACCGGTGTCGATTCGTAGTAATGGCCGGGACACTTCCTTGTAATGGCTGGAACCAACCGGCGTCACTTCCGAGTATATTGCCGATACCCACCGACACCACTTCCTAGAAATGGCCGAGACCCACCAACATCACTTCTTAGTAATGGCCGGGACCCACAGACGTCACTTCCGAGTATATGGTATGGACCCAGCGAAGTCAATTCCTAGTAATGACTGGAACCTACCGACATCACTTCCGAGAAATGGCCGGACCGACAGACATCGCTTTCTAGTAACGGCTGGTATCCGCCGCATACGCCACTTGCGAGTATATGGTCGGGGCCACCAATGTCAATTCCTGGGGCTCATTGACTTCACTTCGAAGTAATGGCCGGACCAACCGACATCATTTCGGAGTAATGGCAGGAACCCACTGATGTCACTTCTGAGTGTAAGGCGGGGAACCACCGACATCACTTCCTAGTAATGACCGGAACGCACAGACGTCACTTCCGAGTATGTGACCGGAAAGCACAGACGTCACTTCCGAGTATGTGACCGGAGCGCACAGACATCACTTCCGAGTATGTGACCGGAACGCACCGACGTCACTTCCGAGTATGTGACCGGGATCCACCGATGTCAATTTCAATTATGGGCTGGGATCTACAAATATCACTTCCGATTAATGGCCGGACCCACTGACGTCACTACCGAATGCCGGCACACACCTATTTCGCTTCCTTGTAATGGCCGGGTCTCACAGACGCCACTTCCGAGTATATGGTCGGGAATCATCGACATTGCTTCTTAGGAATGGCCGGGACCCACCGATGTCACTTCCGAGTATATGGCCAGGACCCATTCCTAGTAATGGCCGGGATCCACCGATGTCACTTCCGAGTATATGGCCAGGACCCATTCCTAGTAATGGCCGGGACCCACCGATGTCACTTCCAAGTATATGGCCAGGACCCATTCCTAGTAATGGCCGGGACCCACCGATGTCACTTCCGAGTATATGGCCAGGACCCATTCCTAGTAATGGCTGGGGCCCACCGATGTCACTTCCGAGTATATGGCCAGGACCCATTCCTAGTAATGGCCGGGACCCACCGATGTCACTTCCGAGTATATGGCCAGGACCCATTCCTAGTAATGGCCGGGACCCACCGATGTCACTTCCGAGTATATGGCCAGGACCCATTCCTAGTAATGGCCGGGATCCACCGATGTCACTTCCGAGTATATGGCCAGGACCCATTCCTAGTAATGGCCGGGACCCACCGATGTTACTTCCGAGTATATGGCCAGGACCCATTCCTAGTAATGGCTGGGGCCCATCGACGTCATTTACGACTAATGTCCGTACTTACCTCTGAATAATGGCCGTCATTTTTTTTTTTCGCGAAGGAGAATGATGTATTAAAGTAGTACTTGTGATGTCATAGAAAGCAAAATCAGAGAGCAGAATTTGAATTGAAATCAAGTTTTTTACATTCAATTGCCTGCACATAACCATGAGAATATTATACATCTCTTCTGCTATGGGTTAAATAGCAGGGTAGACTGAAATCTGTAGCCATTATTGGCAACCAGCCCCGGAGATGGTCGAATCTGAATTCAAAATTATTACCTTCTTCGAAATGTCCTATTTCAAGAGAAATAAAACCGTCCTCAGTTTTGAAAAGATATTACTTTTATTTATCGAAACATGACGATAACAAAATTCCAGTAAAAAATAACAATTTCTTATTATTTTATTTCTTGTGGCTAAAAGAATGAAAACCAAAACGAAAGAATTGCCGCAGCTGAATCCAAATCTCCAGACCCGTAAGAGAAGTCTTTGAAATATAATACTGTAAAATAAAAATAGTTCTTTTACATTCACAGCAGTAATGAACAAAGAGAAAACACTTTACATAGCAATTCTCCATTTTGGTTTTACACAAAACGTCATTTAATAAGAAAGATAATCTAAACAGATATACAAATATAAAGATAAACATATTCAATTAAAAAATCATTCTTGATAATGGCTAACAGAAATGTTAGAACATTCTGGCTGAATACATTTTATGTCCAGAAAAGAAAAAAACTTATATAAAAACAAGAAAAAATAAATAAAAACTTTAATCGCAATACCTTGTCAGGCGTCTTTAATAAAACTTGTATTAATAAAACTCGAATTGCTGTAAAAAATACGCAATTATATATATATATATATATATATATATATATATATTTAAATTAAAGATTAAATGCAGATCATATATAGATCGGAATCCGACAGGATGATAAAATAATGAACAAATGGGAAACGTATGTCAATCTAACGTTTCAAGTTTATTAAAACTTCGTCAGAGATTGAGTTTTACGAACGTATTCTGACGAATATTTAATAAAAGTGAAATATGCTAGATTGATAAACTTGTCCTATTTATTCTTTATCATATATATATATATATATATATATATATAGGTGTATATCAGGTGTAACAGCAAAATTGTCAAAAAAATGGACAATGTTGGACTCTTCGAACAACAAGGATGTATTTAGTTGTTCTAAGTTGACATGGTGATCTCTCTTGCTGTTGTTACCTGATTCAGTTTCTCTCTCTAATGTTCCCTCTTATTTAAACTTAGTCACCATCCCCTTGATGGTTCTTGAATGGACTTTTTCTTTTCACCATTGCTCAATTGGTAAGACATATTGGGGCCGGCACAAAATGATTTTTACCTGCTCTGTTTTCAGACTCAATTTTAACCTGCTCTATTTTAATCTGCTCTATTTTCTAACTCAAAGGGGTTTTCAGTGATTCTTACGACAAATGGTGTCAAGATAGCTAAACGTCTTATCTGAAAACCTGGAAAAAGAGAAACTCAATTAGTTTAGTGTTTTTTTTTTTGTTTTTTTTTAGTGGATGGACACTTATCCCATGCTGTTACACGATTTGGACAATTTTGATGTTAGACTCGATATATATATATATATATATATATATATATATATATATATATTTAAGACATTTTTATGTTTAACGTTCTTTTTATAGATACGAGTATTTAAGTAAATGCTCTGTTTATAATAAACAGTATAAAATAACCGACTCGGCCACAAAGGAGCGTTCGGTAGGCAAGGTCGAATTTACTGCTTATAAACTTCAATCTTCCATGAAGTCCGACAATTTATTTATTAAAGACATTTTTATGTTTAACGTTCTTTTTATAGATATAATAATTGTGGCCGAGTCGGTTAAGGCACGTCAGCGTAAATGACAGTTCCGTATAGGATGCAGGTTCGAATCTTGTCAAAGGACGAGTATTTTCTATGAAAATTTCTCAGACATTCAGGCCGGTAAATGTTATTTAATACTGTTTATTATAAACAGAGCATTTACTTAAATACTTGTATCTATAAAAAGAACGTTAAACATAAAAATGTCTTTAATAAATAAATTGTCGGACTTTGTCCATTTCTTAATATATATATATATTTAAAGATATTTTTGTAGGTACAAAATTTAATGATCGAAATAAAAGTATAAAAGTTAATATTACGAGACATATTAAAAACGGGCGAAGCAACCGGTTTCGCTCCCGCTCTTCAGGCTTCAACGGGAGATTTAAAATTAACACAGAAAAATGTACAATAAAAGGAAGTTGTGAAAAAAAATAGCAAAAGGAACTAGAGACAAATGACAGCGAGTCCCAACAAACACTCACGTTGTTTACACAAAGAAGGCTTACGGGACCCGATGTAAAGTGCCTCCAGAACCTTTAGATGAAATAAGGAGTGAGACCGAGACAACACGGTGAACCAGTCAACACTAAATTTGGCTGCACAATCTCTGTTCTTTAATAAGTGTTCGCATATGGCGGAACTATAGGTGTTGGCTTTCAGGAAGAAAAGATACGAAAGAATCCACTTTGTCCTCAAATGTACTGTCGGTACGTTGATGATACCTTTTGTTTATTTAACGGTGAAGTTGAGTTTCTTTCGTTTTTAAATGGTATCCATCCAGCACTGAGGTTCACTATTGAAAAAGAATCCAATCAATTGGCCTTTTTAGATGTATTAGTACATCGCACATTAACAAGTTTTCTCACTTCCGTTTATAGAAAACCAACTTTCGCAGGGTTGTACACGCGTTGGGACGCTTTTTGTCCTACTAAGCGCAAGATTAATATTATTAAAACCCTCCTACACAGAGTATTAAAGATCTGCTCTGAGCCTTTCTTGAACGACGAAATCGACTTTATTGGATACCCTATGTATCGCCCGTTTTTAATGTCTCGTAATATTAACTTTTATACTTTTATTTCGATCTATATATATATATATATATATATATATATATATATATATATATATATAAAATCGGATTTAAAATAAATTCATTAATCCTTTAGAAATGGAATTGTTTAAGTTTCAGATATGGGACCGAGCAGATATGGGCTTTCGGGACAATCTGAATGCAGAAGTTTGCTTTCCGTAAATAAGGGAAATAGAACCTCGGTGAACCATGGACCTCTCTGTAGCCGAGTGAACCATGGACCTCTCTGTTGCACGTCAGATCAAACATTGGTTTTTCTTATAAAATGGGTACTCAGATTCGATCCCTACCGGAGAACACATTATCTTTATTAAGATTTCACGAACAGGCCGATAGGCCGATACTTTTAAAAATAAAAATGGGATGTTTCATGCTAGACACAATCATTATGTATGTACGAAATTGTAGAGATTTTTTTTTTGTATTAAAAACAATTCCTTCTGTGGATTAAGTTTTTTTTTTTTGCTTTAAAAAAGTGGTTATAACTGTCATGCATATATGACATTATGACACTGACATATGGTCAGATGACATATGGTCAGATGACATATGGTCAGATGATTGCTTTTAGCTTGAAACAGCCTGCCGCCTCTGAGTGTTGACTTCATTGTCCACATTTATATTTACATATTTTCTATCTCTGATATTGAGCACTTTATCCCATAAATATAGTACATCTTAAAACTATATTTCTTCATATATATATATATATATATATATATATATATATATATATATATGTATGTATGTATGTATACACACACACACACACACATATAATGTGTATATGAGTAGCAATCCTTGTTTTATACAGGTTTCCTTGAAGGCGGGTAACGTGTCACTGCAATGAAGCTTTTTATTATATATTTTTTTTGCATTCGTACAAATTTTCTTTTTTGCACACAGCGTACGTAAGAAATGTTGAGCCGAGGGATTTCGGCTAATCTATTAACCATTATCAAAGATGTTATTTTGTTTGTCTGAATGTGTAGATTATATATATATATATATATATATATATATATATATATATATATATATATATATATATTGTGTGTGTGTCTGTGTGCGCGCGATGGAAAGTGAGAGAAAAAGAGTGATAGGTAACAATAAATAAAACTAATTATGCAATTTAATAGCTATTCCTGAAACGGAGTTCTGCAGGCGTCATTCGCTCGTTGATAATATTTTACTATCAATAAATTGACGGGTGGATACAATATCTGCAAAATGATAAATCAGAGAAGATCAGTTGAAAATTTACTTATTTGTTGTTATTGATGATCAATCCATTGAGACTGAGTACTTGAACTAAAAATTAATCATATATGGAAAATTCTCTCCACCATGAAAATGTACATATATGCACAATATGCAATGCAATATGTAACATACTTTACATAGCGCCAATACTTTAAACTAAACAAATAAAATAACCAAAACCCGAGAAGAACATCTAAATCTAAATAATCTAAACATCTAAATAAATCACTAAATAAACAAACCAGGTAAATAATAAAGAAATTAACAAAATACGATGCACGCATAAAGACAAATAATAATAATAATAATAATAATAATCAACAAGGATTAATTAAGTAATCAATAATAAATAATGAGAAAAAGTCAATAAGCAACACTATAAAATAACTTTTTTTTTTCTCTTTCACCTCGGAGTATCAGAGATGGTGTAAGAATGTCACTTTGTGTATCACAGGCAGAATCATTGTAGCTCTTTTCGGGAAATTCATTTTCTCGAATACTTTACTTGATCGTTGGTGCACTTTGTAGCCGAGAGATCTAACCACGTCAGATCTAATAGCAGTTTCCCACTAGGGGAACGCAGGTCCGAATCCTGCCAGAGGGAGCATATTTTTCTCTAATACTATTTCTGGAATATTCAGGCTGTTTAATAAATAATATTTTGTTTAATAAATAAATAGACCATCTACTCAAATACGAGTTTTTACTAAAATTAACGTTCAAGTAATAAAAATCTGTCGGGTTAAGAAACAGGAAAATTCATCCCTTTCTTCATATAGTGC